ACACCTAAGCCTAAACAAGGCGAGGGTGTAAATTTACTCTCAATGGCTAGTTTTATGAAGGAGGTTCAGGAGACTGGGTTAATGTTTGCTTTAATAGCTCATGAGGAGAGTTTAAATTATGTTATTCAAGAGGACGTTAAATCTCTTATTGAGGACTATAGTGATGTCATGCCAAATGACCTCCCCTCAGGTTTACCACCCATGCGGGACATAGAACATCACATATATCTCATTCCAGGGTCTAGCTTGCCAAATAGGCCAGCTTACCGCATGAGTCTTCAAGAGCATGAGGAACTTAAGAGACGGGTTATGGAATTACTTGTAAGGGGTTTTATCTGGGTTAACATGAGCTGTGGGCAATGCCTACTCTATTGACACCAAAGAAATATGGTAATTGGCGAATGTGTGTGGATAGTAGGGCCATAAACAAAATCATTGCGAAATATCGTTTCCCTATTCCTAGGTTGGATGAGATATGGGACCAACTTTCTGGTGCCAAGGTCTTCTCCAAAATTGACCTAAAAGTAGTTTATCATTAGATATGTAGTAGGCCTTGGGGTGAGTGGAAAATGGCTTTTAAAACGCATGATGGATTATTTGAGTGGTTTGTTATGCCATTTGGATTGTCAAATGCTCCTAATACCATTATGAGAATAATGAACCATATACTCAGATCATTTATTGGCTAGTGTGTTGTCGTATACTTCGATGACATATTAATTTACAACCTTTCATGTGAGACTCATATGCAACACCTCAAGGATGTTTTTGAAACTCTAAAGTAGGAAAAACTATATGCTGATATTAAGAAATGCAGCTTCATGACAGAAAGTGTAGTATTTTTGGGTTATGCTATTTCTTCGGAGGGGTTGAAAGTAGATCAGTTTAAGGTAACGACCATACTTGAGTTGTACCAAGATTATTCTAAATTTGAAGCAATTTTTACTGAAATCTTAGCAAGAAAGTGTGATGATTAGTTTGTGCATTATGGTTTTCTCTTTAGAGGCATGAGACTACCTATACTAGATTGCGCACTACGGGATAAGATCCTTAGGGAGTTACATAATGAATGTCATTTTGGTTGTGACAAAACCATGGCCTTGGCATCTAATAATTATTTTTGGCCCAAAATGTTGCATGATATTGATAGATTTGTAGACATCATTTGTCAAGTCTCCAAAGGAAATGCGCAAAATACTAGACTCTATACTCCATTACCAGTGCCGTCTGCACCTTGAGAGGATATCAGTATGAATTTTGTGTTTGGGTTAAGAAGAACACAGAGAGGCATGGATTCGGTGTTTGTGGTAGTCGACAGATTCTCTAAAATGACACACCTTATTGCCTGCAAGAAAACTATGGATGCTTCTAATATTGCAAAAATTTATTTCAAAGAGATTGTTCCATTGCATGGCATTCCAAAGTCAAGCACTTCAGACAGAGATACAAAATTCAAAAGTCACTTATGGAGATCTTTATGGAAGTTGATGGGAATTGAGTTATGTTTTAATGGCACATATCATCCATAAACTGATGATCAGATAGAAATAGTGTGCGCAGTTTGGCAAGAAACAAGCCAAAGCAGTGGGATTTGGCTTTACCTCAAGCTGAATTTGCTTTCAACTAGACCCATAATCAAAGTACTCAAAATAGCCTATTTGAAGTTGTCTATGGATATAATCTAAGCAGTGTGCTAGATTTGACTCCTATACCTCATGCAGGGAAATTTAGTGGTAATGCAAAAGATTTAACTGACCAAATCAAAGACATTCTTGTGCAGGTTAAGAGGCAGATTGAAATCAACAATGCAAAATATAAGACTATTGCAGATAGGCCTCGTCGCATGCAAACGTTAGAAGTTCGAGATTACGTGTGGGCTATTTTGATCAAAGACAGATATCATGCTGGGAAGTATAACAAACTCAGTAATCGGAAGATTGGGCCATACAAAATTCTAAAGAAGATCAATGACAATGCCTACAAGTCAAAGCTCCCAAGCTAATTGTGGACTTTTGATGTTTTCAATGTCAAGCACTTAATTCCGAATGCAGGAGATACTTCTGGTGGTGAAAAGCCTAACTCGAGGACGAGTTCTCGCTAACCAGGGGAGGATGATGCAGTCGAGATTATTGTGCTCAACTATCTGGAGTGGCTGGATCGTGATCAGGTGAAGAAGAAATAATTTTTTTTGGAGTCATTTATTTATTTATGACTCTGTTAATTGTCTCTTGTTTAGGAAATCTGTTTTCCTTAGGGAATAGTTTAGGAAAGGTTATTAGGAGATAAGGTCTGTATCTATCAAGTTAGAGCCCTTTTTTCTTTTTTTTTGAGTTGTTTTAAAAGCAAAAAAGGATAAATACGTTTTAGTTTTGAAAAGGGTTGCGTTTTTTCTTTTGCAAGGAATAATCCTTTGTAGCCTTGAATATTAATTGATAAAGAGATAAGTACAAAGGTCGGAAGGTTGGGTTTATTTAATGGGATAAGGTTCTTTTGGACACCTTTTGGAAAAGTGATGGATATAATTCTACATGCTATATGGCTCTATCTTTCTGTTACTCGATGTGGTAAGGACATAATTGAAGTGGATGTCAAGAGAAACTTGAATACTCTCTTCCATTTCAATATTTATAAATGTCGGGCTATAGGCAGATGGATGGCTCCGCTAGCAAGGGTATCTAAACTTAACTTCAATGATAATTCGAAAGGTGGGACAAGCAGGATTTGGAGGGGTGCTATGAGACTAACTGGGCAATGTGATTTTTTCGTATACGAGGCCACTTGGAGTTAGGACTGCTAATTATGTTTAGCTATATGCCCTCCTCTTAGGGTTAGGAATTATTGTGGAGAGGATGCTAGGGACTTAATTCATTATTGAGGGTGATTCTCTTAATGTGATTTTGTGGTGTAAAAAGGAAAGACTACTTCCATGGGACTTCAAGACTTTATTGTTGCAGATTTTGGATCTCTCATCCTCTCTTTCTATTTCTTTTGATCATGTTTACAGGGAGGCTAACGTAGTCGCAGACTCTCTTGCCAAAGGAGGTTCCTCCCTTCCTTTTGTTTCTATTTCGGACTCTGTAATTACATTTTAGTTCAATAAAGTTGTAGAATTTCTATCAAAAAAAAAAGAAAAGATGAGGTTATTTTGGACGTCTTCATCTTGGGAAGGAAATATGATATAAAAAGAAGGGACCTGATATTGCAAAAGGGAGTTTTGATGTTGAATAAAAAATTGTAGAGGTTTTCCACTTTTGAGTGTAGAGAGAGAGAGAAAAAGACCCCTACTTGTGAGTTTGTTTTCTTCTTTTCCTCTTATGCTTGTGGGCCCATGCTGGACTACTCGAATCCACACATTTTGTTCTTTCTTCTTGTGATTCCTTTATCGTTTTTATTTTTCTCTTTAAAAGGCGGTTCATGTTTGCCGGGTGGTATTCGCTGGTAATTATATATATATAATTAATTTAGTAGGGAAGACAGGCCCCTACCCGTATACTGCGGTAATAACTTTACAATATAGATGTATAAGACTTTAAAACCTCGCATATAACATAAGTAATAATGATATTCTTATAAAATGTCAATAGGTCATGTATTTCCTCATATACATGATCTCTCAACTAAAAATCCTATGTATAATTTTTAAAAAGGTAAAATTTCAATTAGTTTCTTTAAAATATTACATCGGATGATAAATCCTTAAATTTTGGAGCTGTAAAATTTTATCAAGAAAGGAAAAAATGTATTTCTCGGATTAGAAGATTAAAACATGGTTTTTTACGCCAATTTTAAATAAATTCTACATTCATGATTACTTTTTTGGGAAAATATCCCTTTACCCCCAATTTTTAACTTGTCTATCTCATCGGACCCAAGAATTGAGAATATTACTTGTAAGCAAAAAGCCTCCATATTTTCTATCTTATAACCCCCTTAAATTTTTTACCCAAAAAAATATTAAATTGACATCCTATCCATCTTTCTCTCACATCACTGTCTCTCTTTAACCTCCACCTCTCTCTCCTCTAAACCTCAAAGTTACAGAGAAAATTTCCCTCTCTAAAATTTATTTTCTCTAACAATTTTCTCTCTCTAACAATTATGAAAAATTATCCCACGCTACTTGCCATTGGAGAATCAGATTCTTAATCCAGAAAGCCAGTTGCTAGTTGCCACTAAATGCAGAGAGCCAACATTCTAAAGGGAGAAAAAAAGAAGCAATAGAGTAGCCGTGAAAGCTTAAAGGTTCTCCTATTCTCTTTCTCTCTCTACCCCCTCTCTCCCACACCCAACAAAAATGGCTTTCTTCGCGTTTTCAGCGAGGGCAACTCCGGTCCCTATAAGATTGTGGAGGACCTGCTTTCGATTCTTTGGAGCAAAGAGGAGGTAGCGAGAGTGAGCAAAAAAGAAGCCAAGGAGCTGAGATCTTGCTTGAAATTTTTGGTTCCCCTTCTTTTTCCTCCTCTTGAGAATGTGTGTGTGATAGAGAGAAAGAGAGATCTGATAGGTATGTTAGAGAGAAAGAGAGATCTGATAGGTATGTACTAACAGAGAAGAGCTGGTACTTAAAAGGGTAATGGAGGAAACCCTAGGTTGAATTGTGCTGAGATGGTTCAGATGATGAAGCATGGGAGAGAGAGAGAGAGAGAGAGAGAGAGAGAGAGAGAGAGAGAGAGTAGTAGTAAGTAAAGTAAGTAGTATATAGTACTACTACGTTAGTTAGTTTAGTTAGTTACGTACGTTACGTTTACGGTTACGTTAGTTAACTTAAC